GCTAAGGTGGCGGCCGGCGAGGCCCACCCACCCTCCGGAGAGAACCGAGCCTCGCAGGAGGACTAGGAAGCAGGTGGGAGCTCCCAGGGCTCCTCAACCCAATGGCGGTGACCCCAAGATTCATCCGTCCCTTTTACCAGAAAACCGGTCAAGAGGCCGAGTGGCAGGAGGGCGGCCTCACCGGGAAGTACCAGGACGGGGCAGTGGGGGTGGTCAGGGCTCTGCGTGCATGTGAGCACAGGGCCCGGCTAAGCTTAGGACCCGACACGGGGGGCCCCTGAGCAGCCGCCCCAGAGCAGCCCGCAGCCTGAGGACCCGCAGGCACAGGTGCCGGGGACTGCATCTTCTCTAGCACGTTCCGGAGGGGAGCTCACATGGCCTGGCCTGCCCGTCCAGCTCCTCCACACCAGCCCCCTGCCGAGGCCCCTTCTTGGACAAGCAAGCGCCTTTCTGGCCCCAGGTCCTCCCGCACGTACCACCGAGCAGCCACCCGACACCGCCACCCTCACTTACTGGCTCAGGGGTGAGTCCCCGGCAGCCCCCGGCCCCGCCGGCCTGCCCTGGGGGCGTTCTGGGGGACAGGGCTCTCCCTGGCCTGCGAACGGGTTGAAGTTGGGGTCTTCCAGCTTGTCCCAGTCCAGGCTGTAAGACCCCCGGGGAGGAGGAACGGGACCCTCGCCTGCCTCCTCAGGGGGCGCTTCCTGCCTCGCCGCTGGTCTCCCCCCCAGTTTCCTTGGTGGGCGTGGCCTTTTGCTGGGAGCATCATCAGAAAAGTCAAACTCTAGCCTTACAGGCCCCTTGTCTGCAGAGCCGACCGTGTGGCCACTGGTCTCCTCGTTCTGAGGACTGGGGGCCGTCGCCCCTCCAGTCTCCGGAGGACCGGCCGGAGCCGTGCTCTCAGGACCAGCAGCGTCCTCAGGGCTGGCCCGGGCCCCAGGTAGGTCTGTGGCAGGGTCTTCTCCGAGGGCTACTGGGGGGTGAGCAGCAGGGGGCGAGGGGGCCTCGGGTGAGGAGGCAGGGGGTCCGTTGGAGCTCTCCCCTGGGGTTCTGTGAGGGTCCTCTGTTCTGTCTGGGGATGCGATCCTGGGAGGATCTTCTACAACTTCAGAGGTGGGTGCCAGGGTTTTCTCCAGGGAGTAAGAACTATCGTTTTCCTCCGAGCCTTGCCCAGGGCCATCAGATGTTCCTTGTGGAGATGGGAACTGGTTCTCAAGACTCGCAGGGGCCTGGGGACAGCCTGAGGGACCCGGGGGGGCCTGGGGCGTGGAGGCAGGCTGGCAGGGATGCCCGTCTTCAGAGGCTGGCCTGGCGTCCTCTGGAGGGGGGTGGGCGGCAGCCGCTGCAGGTTCCTGTAGAGTCTCATCGGTGGGTTTGGCGTCCACTTCCTTGGCGAGCTGTTGGCTTTTAAAAACAGACCCAGTCAACACTACTGAACCCGCTGGCTTTTTAAGGAGGTTTTTGCCTACATTGAAAGCATCAGCTAAAGACAGAGAAAAAGAATGTTCTGGGACCCCGTCCTCAGGCTAAACTTCCACAGCATGTATCCCCAGTGCCAGGGGGCGGCGTCTGAGCAGCGGGCTTCCCTTCCCTCTTGGCGTGGCTGTAACAGAACAGCACCTGAGTCCCTCTAATCTCTTTCAGTTAAATTTCAAAAAAAAACAACAAAACACAGTGACTTTGCAAAGTAACAAGGAAACCTGGGGAGAGAAACAGATCCAGGTTCCAGAAGCTTCCACAGGGAACGGGGACACGGCCTAAGGATGCTTTGCGTAAGGTAGCGGAAGGGTCTAGCGGGGACATTTTGCGGAATCCCTTTCTCTGCACCCCTGAAACTGCTTAAGAGAAAGAGCAAGTTTTAAACAGCTTAAGTCAGCAAAAGGCAGCAGCAAAATGTGCCTGAGGCCCCTGCCCACTCTGGAGTCGGAGGGTCCCTGGCGGCCCAGGTGGGTCAGTTCAGCCAAATTTGGGAGAAGGGCCACCAGCAGGGTCCTCCTGTGCAAACAGAGGCAGACAGAGCAGCGGCACCTGGTCAGCTGACCACCAGCCACGCCAAACACCCAACACCTGCGAGGCTGCGGCGCGGCGCCTCCTGGTGAAGGCGGGGGCTTAACCCCGATGGGACCAGACCCCACAGACAAGCCTCTGAACCAGCCACCTGCCTGCGCGTCTCCACGGCTCGGCGTGAAGAACACGCAGCCGACTCGCCGGCAAGGGGAGACCCCAGTGGAAGCAGAAAAAGGAGGCGAAGCCGCAGAGGCGTGGTCAGGGCACTCTATGGAGGCAGAGGACCGGACACGAGGCCAGTTTGTTGGCCAGGGCACCGAGGGGCCAAGGGCTCTGGGCACTGCCCAGCTCAGCGCAGACCCAGGGGCCCAACGAGGCGACAGGCAGCAAACGCGGCTGTCCTGCCACGGCCACCAGACTCGGCCCAAGCACCGCACTTACTTCTCTTTTCGGGCCCAGACGCCAGGGGAGCTTTCTCCTCCGACCGCGTCGCCCAGAGCACAGCAAGCCTCGAGGCGGCCGCTCATGCTGGGGGTCAGGATCCTGTGCGTGTGCGGGTCCCGCAGGGGCGTCTGGAAAGTCACCTGGGGGGAGGGGGGGGAGAGGGCCTGCTCAGCGTTTGTCTCCGGAGCAGGCGAGGGACGCGGTGGGCAGCGGGCAGGCACTCGCCTTCATGGCTCTGGCTGTGCTCTTGGGGGGCACATTCTCTTTCTGCGACGGGCGGAGCACGGGCGACCTTCCGCTGAGGTCGGGGGGTGCCGACAGGAAGCCGCAGCTTTCTGCTCGGCTGTCAGCGGCGGCGTTCTCGTCACTGGGGAGCAGCAGACTCATCCTGGAGGCGGGCGGTGGTGTCAGAGGTGCCCCCCCTCCTGCGGGGACCGCCCAGCGGCTGGGGCCACGCGCCGGAAGGGCCTTCAGCTTCAGGGAGGAACCAGGTTCTCCCGGACTGTGTGGGTGGCGGTCAGGGGACTGAGCGCCGGCCTGGGAGGAACCTGGGGAGGCAGAGCCCTGCCCGCAGGAAACAGCAGGGAGGCGGGGCTGCCAGGCCTTCCCGGGGACCCCGGAGCTTCCCCATCGGGGCCTGCAGTCCGCCCTCCCTCCCGCAGCCCCTGGA